CGTATGAAAAAAAAAAAAAAAAAAAAAAAAAAAATCCACCACCATCCGTTTTATTAAGTGCGAGAGTGTGTTTTTTTTCGTTGTATATTTTTCGCAAGGATACGTAAAAATATAGGTGCAAAAAATAAAGAAATAAATATACATGTATAAAATAATAATCTGATAAATCAAGTGCGCGACGCGCGTTGTTTGTTCATTGTTCTTGTTAATGCTGATGTTGGTGTTGTTCACCATGACGTGATGATAGTCCACTACGTTCATAAATTATATGATCAGTTTAGTTTGAATGATTTAAATAATATCCGTTAAATAAAGCTCGTCTATATGCGGGAGCGAGAGTACGAGGTTCGTTATTACGTTGCACGAGAAGGTAGAGACATCAATTTATTTCTCTCAATTGGCTTATGCTCCTTCTGCTGTATTTTAATTTTTTTCTTTTTTTTTCTTTTTCCTCTTCTTCAATTGTACATACAACCACACTTTATCTGTGTCTGTATCGATATGTAAGAGCTTCTTCACACCCTGCGTTAAACAAAAAAAAATTAGTGATTTTTTTTTTCTTTTGTTTTGTTTAAAATTTATGTGTAAAATCACACGCTTACCGCAGCGGGGCTGCAGTTCAAGTTCAAAGTCCGCACATCGAACGATGAATTATACTATGGTTTTGCGCGACTAGCGACCGACGGAATGTGGATCACATGAATGGACTTTATTACTACGCCGTACGCGTTGTTCACATCACCAGCTTTTGTTTTCACCGTTCAGTTGTTCACTTATGTCGACGATGCGGGCTGGGGGTTCCGAAAACGTGTGACGATCGTTATTTTATACACGGATTATCGGAGTTTCGGAGCAAATAAACCTGCGCGTGTGTCTTGCTCTCGTTTTGTGCTCTGCTGTGTGCTCAAATTCAGTGAGTTTTCGTTGTGCACACCTATGCGTATTTTCAGTGCCTATTAAACGTGTTTTGTGTCCTTCAACAGTTATACGAGAGCAAACTACGTGTGATGGTTGTTTCGAGAAAATTTCGTAGTCGGATAGTGTGCCATTTTCAAAGTTCCAAGATACGACACCTTGCAAGTTCATTCGTATCGACTCAGTAGTGTACGTTTGATAAAAAAAAAATATTAGAACCACGGAAAATTCAGTTGGATTTCGGGATAAATCAAAGCGCGTTCGGTAGTGTGATTTTGAATTTGAATTCCCCGTCACAAATAACGAGCTTCTACTAACCAAAAAAAGGGAAAATGTGCGCATCAACCACCAATCAAACACACAGTTAGGAAGTGTATAGAATTAAAAAAAAAAGTGTCCATGTCGTGTTGATACACATAAATAATCGATTAAACGACATAGCTGTCACTATCTCTGTTGCTGCGTGTTACCTTCTATAAAATCCCCTGAAACGCCGACCAGTGCGGGATAGTCGTAGAGTTCGCACAAAAGATGAGAATGAAAATTTACATAAGGTGGATGGTTCTAAAATTAAGTTTCGAAAATCAACAATTGAATCAGTTCTCCTTGGAAAAACTCACACGATACGGGCCTCGAAAGCAAACAATTGGAGCAAACTCGCGTGTTAGACAAACAGAGAAAAAAAAAAAAGAGCTCACCAATCGCGTGCAGGCCACGTATATGTACACGAAAGAAAATCTCGGTGTGCGACCAAGCTTATATACCAATATACTGATAAAATTTTTTCCCCTCATCAAGGGCGACCAAGGAAAAAAAAAGAAAATCCCTCTGGGCGCCTTATCTCCGTCCCTCCGTGAAAAAACACTTTTGTCCCAGTCGTAAACGAGCTCTGAAATTGCTTTTTTCCAAATCCATTTAGAGAAAAGGAAAAAAAAATAATAATAATAATAATAAAAGAAAGAGACCCATTAACCACACATTCTTATGAAAAAGTTGAACGAACTCTCCGGCGAGCCCCTTTTAAACACCTGTAATGCACTGTGCCGTTGTTTTTCCATCAAACACCACCCGAGTCGATCGACACAATTACAAATTTGCATAACCCCAAGCACACGAATCGCATGCACCTCGATACAGGGAAAATCACTTAATCGCGACTGAGAATGGTAAATCGGTATCCGCGCGGTGCCATTCCGCAATGGTCCAACAATAATGCGTTCCCATGGGGCCTCCAATATTGCGAAACACCCAGCGATAAATCCGAAAAGAGCGAGTGCAAACTCGAGATTAGCCGGCGGTGGTTTTCGCGAGCTTTTAAAAATATCATCCGCGAGAGAGGAATTTCTTTCGCTGCGCGTGATTTTAAAAATAAATTTTTTTTTCCTTCCCTCCCGATACGTGACTTTTCGTCCCCTTTGAATGAATCAGTGGCTCGTTGTTGTTGGATTGCACTGTTGCGAACTAAAAATACAGCTGACAGCTCGCGGTCGAAGGTCTTATACTTTCGAAGGCATGTACGCCCAATCATTTCGACTTTCATTAATATAAACTGCGTCTTTGGTGGAAAAAGTAAACTTTCCCCCCTCGCGGGAAAATCAAAGTGCCACGCGGGTAATTAAAACGGGTCAAAAGTTCAGTTTTCTCCAGCCGCAGTGTTTGCTCGATTTCACAAAAGTACTTGGAAGGGGAAGTGGAAAAAAGAAAAGAAGTAACAAAAAGACGCGTGTAGAGGTACTAGCCGAGAGTTCATTGACAGCGATGCATTCGGTGTACCCAATACATACACCTATAACTTGGTCTACAACAGAGTGACGGCGTATACGTGACCGATCGTCGTTTCAAATCGATTTCGAATTCAGGTAGTCTCTCTTCTCGCGCCCATCGTCGCCGCAGATACGTATATATTTATATGTTCGCCGCGCGCTGCATTATTTAAACGAATACGTATATTATATACACGTGCGCACACCACTATAGCGTCGATCGAGCGTCGATCTCGTATCATCGACCTCTCGTATAGCCTCTCTTTTCTTCTTTTGTCTTATTCCTCGGTGATGTACCTGTACATATATGCTCCGGCCTTTGGTAGCCACGCGTCCGATTAACCATCGCTGCGATTGGCGTATCTACTACTCATCGCCGCGTTTAGGGCTCGTTTGGGGATCTTTTTTCCATACCTGTGCGCGATTAGTCGAAAAGTGGAATAGAACATATCCCGTGGCGGTGCATTTACGCGTTGGGCGAAATAGTACTTACTCGGTGTACGCGATTCGCCGCAAAGTATTGAAACAAAAAAAGAAGAAGAAAAGAAACATTAAACGAAGCTAATATGTATGAGCCTCGAGTGAGATGTAACAAAGTAAATTCCATCAACGGTCTGACGTGGGTATAACTGCCACAGAAGAGTCGCCGTCGTGTGGTGTATACCATTTCCCGGCTTTCTTCCTTTCTCCTCTAATTGGTGATGGACAAGCGCACCAGCAGCAGCTTCGCCACCAGTTTGTATATACTTACACCCAATGCACACATCCACGCAAACCCAACACCAACACGACTAGTGGGTGTACATCTATATACAAGTACCATGTGTGTACAGTTGCTCCGAATCCTCCGAGTGGTCTTGTTTTTTCAACTCTACACTCTGCAGCCGAGAGTCGAGAGTGCGACAGGAGATGGAAGAGTGTGCCATCCAGTTGGTGCATCACGGAGAAACGAGCTTTCCCCGATGGCGTTGGATTTCTTTTCATCCGTGACTATACACTATACTTACGTACACGACACACACGCATACTCACTCCGTGTATATGGGTGTTTGGGTTGTAGAGCGTGTGTGACGTGCCGTTAGTTGAAAAATATTTTTCCTTCGCTCGAGTGATGCCGCGCCTATATACTTTTGTGCTACATGTATACAATATAATACTTTCGTAACGGCGATTACGTACATTTTATATTGTCCACGTTATTGAGGACAAACATCCACCCCCAGCGCTTTTTCGGTGTGTAACTCGAGTTGACCATCATCATTTGACCGTTAAGGAAATTTCACCTTTTCTGCAAAGCGCCTCTAAATCGTTTTTCACCATACCGCGGTATGACTTCGTGTTGAAGGTCACCCCGGGATCGTAACGTGAAACCGCAACAAGAAAAGTGTTGTAAAAATGATTTTTTTGTTTTTTGTTTAATGAAGAAATCCCGAGTCGACGCCTATATACACGTGAGCAGATGTGCAGCGGCGATTAGGCGATTGTCATTATTTTTTTCTCCGGAGAGAGTATCGCGTTACCCATACATACGCAGTACTGCTGCCTCGTTATGCTAATTATTTTTTATACGTCCCGAGCGGAGAGAGAGAGAGAGAGATCTCTCTCGCATCCGTAACGGTCCATCGGAGAGCTCGTGTGCGGATTTTATTTTTTTTTTTCGTCCCTGCGAATGAGCTCGTAGTCATATTTTTTCGCACGCCCGGAGATTTATGCCGAGGGGGACTCGTGTACCCAGAAGTGTCTAATGAGCGAGGAACACGGAGTGTTTAGGTCCCGAATCTCGCCGGGAGTGGCAGATCGCGTATCTCTCGTTCCGCTGGTCAACGGTAAACGCGAGGCCGGTGTTTTTTAATCGAGTCAAAGCAAAGAAGGAGAATTTTGACGCTCGTGTGTCGTGTGTATGTAAACGCCGATGGTGGACCTTTTTTTTTTTTTTTTTTTTTTTTTTTTTGTCGTAATTGGAGTGGCCTTGGGTCTCGCAGAGCGAAACTAAAGATCCCATACGTCCCGTGCTTTTAATTGTTTCTCTTGGTTCTCGAATTCCACGTTGCTCTTTTATTATTATTATTATTATTATTTCACGATATTTATGTCGCGTCCCTGGGCATTTCACGAATAACCTCATCGATTAGCGAAGTGAACGAAAAAAGTAAGCAAGCGACAGACGTCCGAACAATAGAGCATTCAGTCCTCGAAGGATATAGGGAAGAAGTGCGGGCGCTCGATCTGTCACCTCCCCGAGAAGGGGGCCCTTGAAAAAAGGCACAGCAGACGCCCACGGAGCGGAAGTGGAGCAGACGACGTCGACTCTCCCTATATTCCCCATCATGTGCTATGGGAAAAATCAAAGGGTCTCCCCCGTACAGAAGAAACGATACCTCTATTTACCCTCCCCCTTCCAAAAAAACAAAAAAATACCGATCGGAAGCTGGGCCAGGTACAAATACTCGGGTGGCTATATACAGTATTAGGAAGAAAGAAAATTCGTCGTCCTTATAGAGTAGCAAAACAAAATTTACCTGGCCGCGGTATACAAGAATCCACACATGAGTGTATAGGGAAAAAGATAATAGGAGCCCGTCTTTTTTTCAAGAAAGAGCAATTAGATTCGCGTAGGAGGGCATCGATCGACACGGAGGAAAAGAGATCGGCTATACATGGCGAGCGCGCACGTGCCACTAACGAGTGTAGG